TTCACCCAGAAAGGCCTCCCTGAGTCTCAAGACTCTTCTGCAGGAGGCTCCCGCCAAGTTTCCCAGTCTGGTGCGAGAACCGCATCTGTGCGTGTATGTAATCCCAATTGGGCAAACTGCAGGCAATTTCTCAGCAGTTGCGGGTGTTTTGAACCAATACAGTTCCAGTCACATTGCGTGGCGGGTTTCGTTTTAAGCATTGTGAGGAAATCGGAGAACTCCGAGGAAAGCCGTGCAGAACATCGGGAGAACGCACAAACTCCATCCATCCAGAGAGGCGCCCGCCTCGGGGATCGAACCTATGTCCCGTTCTTCTGGGACGCACGAGGGTGAACCACTGCCCAGCCACCCTGCCCTCTCTGAGTGCGGTATCTAGCCATGTGCGCGATGCGGTGACCGATCGGAGGCGCGAGTTCGCAGCAGACTTGTCGCAGGCGTTCGCGATTCGAGCGCAGGCGGCCGCCCTGGTTAATACTTAATGGGATTGTTAACCAAATTATATTTTTAACGCTCGCTCAGAGTGAACGTTCACAAAAAAATTCAAGAGATCCTGCGTGACGCTACTGGAGGGTTGGGGGCGGTAAGCCCGCGCGTGTCGGCGTAACGGTCTAACTTGAGCTAAATTCGAGAGAACTAGGAACATCGCTGCATTGGGCAAAACCCACGTGGCGAATGGACCGCGGGCTGCGTCTGTGGAAGACGGCGCGCGCCACGACCAATGCACTGTACTCACGATGTGGTCTCGTGAAAGTAACGGGCTAAGCACGACGATGGTGTTACTCCTACTGTAGAAGGATCCGGTCTCGAGGTGGGAGAGATTTGTGGTTTCCTTAGACCCTCAGAGTAGAGTTTTTAAATTGAATACGTATTTTTTTATTGAAAACTATTTTTTTTAGAACTTATTTTTTGCTGCGTTTAGTTTGCTTTCCTTACCCCGCACCTCCTATGAGCACGGTTGGCTACGTACGGTGCGAAAGACGTTCAACACACACACAACAACAACAACCGCCATTCGCCACTAAGTGGCGGTGACGTCACCACGACGCTTGTGCCAGGCCATGTGCACCTTGAGGCCACGTGAAGTGTCGAACGCCCGCGGGCAGGAGGTCACGGGGCAGACCCAGGTGCCACGGGTCGACTGACTGAGATGACTGGCTGATGCACCACCTGTGCCCCCTACTGTGCCAACCTGCTGTGCTTTAGCCACCCGGCGCTCCACTCGTTGTTGTGAGCATCGCTCCTCCGCCCTCCGTTGTTGTTGGAGGGCGACTACCTCCAACTGCCCAGTAGCGTCCTTCACGAGCCTCCTCCACAGAAGCCGATCTTGACACCACTGGTACCAGTCATTGGCAAGTCCACTCAGCTCCACGTCCTCCTGTACCACATCACTCCATCTCTTCTCTAGCCCGTGCCGCACCCGTTTAGCCCCCTCGATCCGGCCAAACAAAAGCTGTTTCGGCATGCGGTGGCTGGGCATGCGGGCTACATGACCCAGCCAACGCAGCCTTGCCTGCCGGAGGTGCTCACCGATGGGACTTTGCCCAGATCTTTCAAATATTTGTGAGCTCCTCACACAATCCAGCCTGGTTAAACCCAGGATTGATCGTAGGCAGGCTAGCCTAAATGTTTCTAACTGGCGAAGATGTTCCATTAGGGGGGTCCACGTTTCGCAAGCATAGAGAAGGGAGGGAATTACCGTGGCCGAGAAGACCTGAAGCTTAGTGCGGAGCAACAGACCAGGTAGCTTCCACACAGCGTTACGCAACCGATGAAAAGATATTGCCGCTCGACTGATTCGGAGTGGGACCTCTCCTGTTAAACTGGAGCCCGTCATAAGCACACTGCCCAGGTATGGGAAACTCTCCACTCTCTCCACAACTGCCCCATCACCGATTGGGAGTTGTGGGGGTGGAGTGTCCGATGGTACAAAATACCCAGGCAGGTGCTTAGTTTTGGTGGGGCTGATGGTAAGGCCCCATCTCTTAGTGGCACGCTCCAGTCTCAGCAGCAGCGTCTCCAACTCCTCCTCTGAATGAGCAGCTATCACCAAATCATCGGAATACATAACGTGGTTGAGCAATAGGGGGCCATCCCTTGACTGCACCCGGGCATCGATCAGCCTCTCATTATATCTGTACCATATGGAGATTCCCCCGGTACAGCTATTGAAGGCTTCACAAACTACGTGGTCAAAATAGATGTTAAATAATGTGGGAGCCAGAAGACATCCCTCGCACCCCAAGGTGTACAGGGAATGGCTCTGACTCCCGGCCACGTAGTTTTACCCGGGCCCGCTCACCATCATGAAGGTCCTTAATGATCGTGAGCAGAGGGTCAGGTACTCTAAAAGCACGAAGAACAACCCAGAGCCCAGGCCTACTGATGGTATCATAGGCCTTGACCAGGTCAATAAAGCAGAGATGTAGGTCTTGCTGGAATTCCCTACACCTCTGCTGTAGCAGACGGACAGAGTATATGGCATCTGTGCAGGACCGCCCTTTCCTGAAACCGCATTGGGGCTCCGCAAGCCTCTCCTCAGCGTGCCTGGCAAGGCGATGTTGAATAATCCTTGCCAGGACCTCTCCCGGCACACTGAGGAGTGAGATGCCCCTGTAGTTGTTACAGTCTGTGTGGTCCCCCTTCTTAAAGAGGGGGACCACCAGGGCATCCTTCCAATCCTGCAGAACCCGTCCAGTGGTCCAGACTGTTGTTATGATGTCATATAGGGCAGTCTGTGTACAAACGCCACCCTCCCTCAGCATTTCGCTTGGGAGATCATCTCTGCCCGCTGCCTTTCCTGGTCTCAGACTCCGGATCGCCTTCAGTACTTCCTCAACAGATGGCACTTCAGCCAGCCACTCACAGGAGGTGACTTCTTCCAATATTTGAGGCACTGCAGCTTCATCAGGGTCATCCTCACTTTGTGCCACGATGTTTTCCTGGCTGAGGGATTTTCCCTCCCCCAGGACCTCACAGAAATGCTCAGCAAATCTGCAAACCTGTTCCTGGGGGTCGGAGATTGGATCACCGTTTTTTCCCCTAATGATGGTAATAGGTGTGGCACTGCAGGTTACTTTTTTTATGGAGTTAAATAGAGATTTGTGATCGCGGGCCACTGAGGCAGACTCCATCTCCTCAGCAACCCGCGACCACCACCCATCCTTGCAGCACCTCACTGCTCTCCGAACCTCCGAGCGAAGGCTGCGGTAAGCCTCCTCATTCTCTGACGTGGGATTCTGTGCCGATGACAGTGGGCCTGTCGCTTTTTCTCAACCATCCTGAACACCTCCTCTGTCAGCCAGGGTCTCTGGGGAGGTCTGGACCGCGTACCCAAAGCAGCCATTGCAGCTGCATGGGTCACAGTCCTAAACCTCGCCCATTTACCCTCGACATCAGGAGGAGTGGGGGACGATGCCAATCCCAGCCGCAAGCGATGATGAAATTCTCGCTTGCAACTTTCATCAGATAACTGAGACCAGGCCACTTTAGGTTGGAATGGGTCCTGGGTGTACACCCACCACCGGAGTGGAAGAATGGCAGGCGCATCTTACAGATGACTAGTCGATGGTCGGAGGGCAGATCAGCTCCACGGTAGGTCCTGGTGTCACAGACATGGGCTCGCATCCGCTGGTCCGTCACTATGTAGTCCAGCAGATGTTATTGCTTGGACCCGGCATACATCCATGATGTTGTGTGGATGCGCCGATGCAGGAACAGCATGTTGGTAATTACAAGCCCATGGGCTGCACAAAAATCTAGCAGCCTCCTACCGTTGTTATTGAGCTGATCTGGCCCATGCCCTCCAATCACTCCAGACCAGGTGCCAGCATCATGACCAACTCGGGCATTGAAGTCACCCAACATGATGACTCTATCCCGAGGTGCCACTTTAGCCAGCACCTGTGACAGGAGGTCATAGAAGGCATCTGACTCATCGGTTTTGCCTGCATCCCTCCACGGATGTTCATCTTCGGTGGGGGCATAAGTAATCACGACCACCACTCCTCGCCTCCGGTTGATGGGAAGGCGAGCCCAAAGTAGCCTGGGGCTTACAGCTTCCCATACCTCACCGCCACGCTCCCATGCCCCCTTCATTCTTTTGTTCAAAAGAAGAGCCACACCCTGTTGTTTGGCAGTCTGCTGCCCCGAGTAGAGGACTGTCCACCCCTCATGGTGGCAGGAGCCAGAACCGGTCCACCGGACCTCCTGAGAGATCCAGGCGGTACCGGTCCAGCTCTCCAACACACACACATAGAAACACACACGCATGCAGAGATCTCAACCCAAGAGGGATCGGCACGTGCCGTTTGCGAGCAACGTCCCCCACGCGGAGATGGAGCGATGAAATGAAATTTGCGTGCAGGCAGGTGCCAGGTGGATTGTTGCATCGCAGGAACGTGGAGAAACGGCGACTGATTGGGTGGGTTGGGGATGCATTCATCTAGCAGTGGATAGATCGTTGATGAGGATTATGATGGCCATTATGCAGTGTTAATGGCCCAGGTCCAATCGCTTCCTTAATCAGGAATTGTCTCTTTTACTCAACACATTCGGCAATAACACTTTCGCTTTAAAAGGAAACAATATCATCGGCGACGTTTCGGGCAACAGCCCTTGGCACATGAGATGTTTACTGCATCGGAGGCACGGTGTGTGTATATATAAAAACGCCGTGTTATAAATGTATGTTGAACTTCTTTCGCACCGTACGCACGTAGCCAACCGTGCTAATCGGAGGTGCGGGAAGGCATGTTAACCCACAAGTTAACCCACAAGTTATCCGCTGTCAAGTTGCACGAAACTTCTCACACACACGCGCGCGCATCTACCGGATTGTAAGACGCACCCCCCCCCCCCCCAACAGTTGCTGTAACATAGTGGGGGGGGGAGGGGGGATTTAGTGCGTCTTATAATCCGGACAATACACGATGATGGCAATGATGAAAATCACCACCTCCGCGCAGCTGCTGTGCTCGGGTGCGCCTCTCCCTCCTCCTCACCTGTGCGGAGACGCCACTCCGAGCCGGATGCCATGGCTCCAGGTGCAGTCTCCTACCGCCACCCCACCAACACCAACCTCCTCTTCCACCACCTCTTTATCGAGCAGCAGCAAGTCCACCAGCCACGAGCAACTCTACAAACAATAACTCCGCCTCCTCCTCACTCCACCGACCTCTTCCCTCGAGCCTCCTTCCTCTTGACTCTCGGAAGCTCCTTCGACGCCACCAACACGAATTACCTAAACCACCCCCTCCATCGTGGAGCTGCGATGCGCACTGGTGGCCTGGCTGGCGACGTGTGGGGGGAGGGAACAGCACCCACCACCGTTTTCTCTGCGCCTGCTGAGCGCAATGCCGGGCTGAGGGCGCTGGCGACTGCCCCTCGTTCGTGTTCAATGGTTCACCTCCTTCCTCTCTGCAGAGTCGGCGCTAGGAGGAGGAGGGGTGAAGAGGGAAAATACGAGGAAGTTCCTCGGCGGGGCGCAGGTGGAGTCCACGTTGGTGATTCTGCCTGGGGGCCGTTGGCGCACAAGAAAGGGCCGGTCTTAGTGTTGTTGTCATTGCCCAGTGTGTTGGGCGGCTTGGTGGTGGTTGCTGTTGTTTGTTGTTGTTTATACGTGGGCATGGGTTGGGAAGGAGAGAGCGACGATTGTGAGGAATGGCAACTGCCGCGGATTTCCTTGCGCGTGTGTGTGGGCGTGTGTGTGTGGGCGTGTTGTAGCGAGGAATTACTCTGCAGGGCATTGTGTGTTCTCGCTCTCACGTCGATTCCACGTTAAGTGTCGTCTATTTAATACTCGATTATACTGATTTTAGTGCGGTAAATGTGGTGACATCGCTGGATGGCACCACGCCTGAAGTGCATTGCCGGCCCTACAGGACACGGTGTGTGGGTGCCGACCTCAGGGGACGGTCGTGTGGCCGGCTAAGATAACAGGAGGGCCCCCAAGAGGGGGCTATGGGTGGTCACGTGATTGGGACCCAGATCCTTCCCGATGATTCTGGAAGGGGGACGTGGCCAAGGGCGAAGGCGGCCACGCCACAGATAATATAAACAGAGTCCCGAGAGGGACAGGGGTTGTTCATCCCGGGAAAGAAACCCTTCGTCTACGATCTCCGATCTATGAGTCTTCCAGCACGTGGACCATGGCAGATGCTGTTGGGCCCGGGTCCGTAGTAACAGTTACGTGGTAACGAGTGTAGTAACTAGTGTAGTAACTAGTGTGGGAACGAGTGTAGTTAGTTTTCAGTTTCATTTATTTGGTATAGCCAAGCCGGGTGGTCACCACCCTAGGTTGTTATTCTGTTAACTAAATAAATGCGCTGCCTCCAAAGTCTGCGTCTGCGACTCGGTTGAACCCACTGTCCTGTTGAACTGCCCATATAGGACTCACCACTGTGATCTCTACATTGGGTCAAACCTAACATCTCTTAATGTTCGACAGCTTGTGCACCAGATCTAATTTATTCACGATGTACTTACAAAAAAATCCGCAGACTACCTGCTGGATCTCCTCTCTGTTTCAAAGAACAAATTTGACCTCAGGTCTTCACTCATTTACCAGCGTCACATTCCCTATTGCCGTACAAAAACTGGAGGAAGGGCCTTTGCTATTGATGCCCACAGGGTCTGGAATGCTATTGCCAATAAACTGCAACTTGAATCGCTACCAATGAGATCTTCTCTCAAAACTGCTCTAGAGGAGTTGTACACCCCTAGCTGCCACTGCTATTCATTGGCGTAAAATAAAATAAAATGTTTCGCTCCGGATGACGCAGCAAAGTATTATCTGTATTTTGATTTAGCGTGCTGATCTTAAAGGTGCATTGAAAAATTTGATACTCCGACTGATGCTTCTGTTGTTGTGGAGTAACTCATGCAGCCAGCTATGGCTTTAGGATTTGGTGTTACATGTTATTTATGTAGTTTATTGTAAAAATCCGGTCACAGTCCCTGTGATCACTGTTACGTTGCAATTATGGCTTTATTTTTTGGTGATTTCGAAAACTTTTTTGGTTTGGACATGTTTGTTTTGTTGTAGTACGGAGTTAGACTGATGGCCTTAATCTAAGTTTTATTGTGGTTGTTGTTTGACTTGCATCCCACTGGGATTTTTTGCACACAGCGTTGGTGCTTTTTTCAGGAATATTTTGCTGTTTTTTTTCATGGATTTTCTGTTTGCACAGTCACACATAGTCACTTTAAGATGTTTTTCTTGTTCGTGTTTTTGTTTTTTTGTTTGTTGTGGTTGCACCCGATTCAAGAGCCAAATGGCTCACAGGGCTATACCAAAATAAATAAACTGAAACTGCTCAGGTGAATTTAAGCGCCACTGCGTGGTGACGTCACCACGCTCAAGTTGATTGGAGCGACGCTGCGTGGTGACGTCATCGCGCTTAGATTCTTTGCCGCAGGTTGATTGATGCGCTGCTGCGTGGTGACGTCACTCTGCCTCAAGTTGATTGATGTTTCTTGTTCATGTTTTTGTTTGTTGCGGTTGCACCCGATTCAAGAGGCGAATGGCTCACGGCTATACCTAATCAATGAAACTGAACTGCAAATATAGCGGCCTCTAGCGGCTGCGGGGGGAACGCGTGAGCCCGTTGTGTGAAAAGGTGTACGAATCGATCAACAATTTAAACAACCCCATCGATCCTTGCGCACGCGAACGGAGGTGTGGAACGAGTGAAGAATTGATCTAATAGAATCGATGAATCAATGAATCTCTCCTCACCTGAACGCGAACCACGCCTCCCGCTGCCGCCATGACGTCACGACGTACACATGTAAATCCACTGCTAGATGATTGTACCTCCCAAGGCCACACGATTTCGTGGGTGTTGTTGTTTTTTACCATACTTCACGCTGGTGGGTGAAGTTTCAGGTTTCCATTTGCAAGTTTATTTTTTATAAGCAGGTGAGAAATAGGCGGGGAGCATAGACGTTGGAGGATAGTACAGTACAGCAATGTAATTCGCTGCATTGGCCTCTGCTGCGCGGATTGCAGTCGCTGTAAACAGGAGACGGAATGAATCTGCGACAGGATGAACGATACATTTCTAGATTTAAAGCTTTCGTGACTGCTACGATCCATACTCTTTGGTTCTATTGGGTAAAGTCACGTAGGTGAAAATAAAATAACAAAAAAATAACAACAAAAAACAAAAAAATTTGTTATTTTATTTTCACCTACGTGACTTTACCCAATAGAACCAAAGAGTATGAACGATACATGTTAATATAGCTCCATATACGGGCCTGTACAATTAACATCATTTATAATTTAATCTGCCGCGGCAATAATAAATTATGTGAATGTACATCGATACATATATGGGCCTGGTACATTAACATAATTATGTTTTCATTCTGTCGGGGGATTAATTTCGTGACAGCGCCTGTTGAGTCGTCCAAGAGGAGTCTACAAATCCACGCCGTGTTTAGCTTCCAGCACGCATGGTGGCAGTGGCCGCTGGGCGAGCTCCCGAGTCTGGAAGGGGAAATCTTCCTCTGTCTCTCTCTCTCTGTCTCTCTCGTGATGACCCCCAGAACGATTTTGTAATCGACAAAGCCTACCCAACTTTCATCTTCGGTGCTCCTCAGCCAGCATTGTAAATTCCACGTTCCCATGGTTGGCGCGAGTATATCCAACAACTACAATTGCCGTAGGCGAAATTATTTACGAGAACGCCTCCCACTCCCCTGCCATCCGGCGCCAACACTGGCACCGGGACATCCCTTGAATTTTCGCGATTCGCGTGTGTGTAGCGGCCTCCAGCGGCTGCTGTCGGGATCACGCGAGCCTGCCGACAACTTGCCTGCAACGACACACGCAGCTTCTTACACATTCCCGTGCAAGTTGGAGGTGGGTGTGATGCAAGTCCAAGGAGGGTCACCTCTTCACGCCCGGCACCCAGGGAACAAAGCAGACAAATGGAGTTATAGAGAATCACCCCCCCCCCCCCTCCTCGTGCCGCTTCTTCCCTCGCACTGCTCCACTTTGGAATTCCCCTTCCAATCACCAGCGTCTATTTTTCTCACCCAAGCATTCATCATCATCATCATCGCCTCGCTCATTTGAAGAAACGTATTAACTAACTCTGACGTACGTGACGATTTTAACCGTGCTGTTTGCTGCGGGCCGCTTGACGTTCGGTGTGCCTTTGAGCCGGGTACTCGGCAACTTGAAAGACGCGTACAGGTGAGTGCGCAGGTGAGTGCGCAGGTGAGAGGGCAGGTGAGTGAAGTCTCACCCTGTTGCGCGCCGTGTGTCAACACAGCCCTCTGGGACTCCTCGCACATTACAACGGTCCGCCCAATTCTAGATTTGAAGCTTTCGTGACTGCAAGGATTCATACTCTTTGGTTTTTCGGTAAAGTCACGAAAACAACTAAATTAAATCACGATGTTTCGGAGGCAACACAAGCTTCCGTCTTCAGGTGGAACAGTCACAGCAGAATAGCTGTATCAAGTGAAGAGCTTTGAGACACCCGAGATTATATACAAGCACAAATGTGGGTTTTGACGCCGACACACAATGGCCCCCTCTTGCAAACGACGTCACGGGATCTTTAACGTGCGCCGTGAAACGAATGGCGTGCAGTATTGTCTAGTCATCACACCCGCAGTGATGATCAGGATGTAATTAATGTAAATCTGGCTGTCGCCTGATGATGCCGGTTTTAAGTACTGGCGAAACGTCGTACTCAGATTGTAAATGTGGATTTGCTCTCCAACACACCGGTGTGCTGTATTAGTAACGAATTGGCACGTTCTGTTTACGTGACAAACCTTACTAATTGGCTATGTCGGGTGGTGGCGGGTTTAACGACACATTTATTTACGCGATCTAACCCCATACAACCTCTATTATGAATGTAATGGCTGTAAGGACAAAATGTCTGCGTGTATGTTAATTAAGTTAATTAAACTTAACAGCATATGTAAATCCAACTTGCAACACTGTGCCGCTGCACAGTGTTCGCTCTCCTAGAGACAGGGGAGGACTCAGAGGCGCGAGGAGGAGGAACCAGAGACCAGAAGCGGGAAGGCGGCAGCAGCAGCAGCCACGCCGTGACGAGCCAGCGCTCTCAACAATTCCCCAAGATCTGCGGTCCTCTATATATTAACGGGATATTATCGGCCAATTAATTAAGTGTGGGAGGAAACCAGAGCACCCAGAGAAAACACACGCCACGTGTGAGGGAGCAACACTCGATCCCTGTACAAACGGAAACAGATGGAGATTAGTCCACTTGCTGTACCGCCTCCTCCCTGTGAACCAGGGTACGGCTTCTCATCTCCACCCACTGGAAGGGAGTTTCATCGCCCATCCGTGCGGTGATCCACTAACCCTCGCTGCTGCCTCCACAGCGCTGGGTCACAGGCAGCCATGTGCGGCAGCGTAGCCACCACCATGTATGTATCTCCAAAACTATATTTTAGGAAAACGTGACAAGTATCCAAAGCGCGTCATCCCGTCTGAGTCTCCTTTCTACGAGAGACACTTCAGTGAATAAAACATAGTTTGACACATTCCAGCAGGCACACGCATGCATACAACGCAAAGAAAAATATGCCCCGTGTGGCCCATGCAAGCTGTTGGAGCAAATAGAGTTGGCAAGCAAACTATAAAGTCACGTATGTAGAAATACAATAAAATTATATTAAAACAAAAAACAATCACGACGTTTCGATCACAACGCAAGCGATCTTCATCAAGTGTCAAGAACAAATCACGGAGGTAAATACAACAAAAAGATGAGAGACGAGAATTCAACAAACCTGAAAAAACATTATGTGAAGCACATCCAGTCAGGCCAACAACACAGACACTTCCTGGCGGACCACGAATTTCAGAAGTGTTAAATTTCGTGTTCAACCTTTGGATTGCACATACCAGCATAGAATGACAAATACGAGGTACACGGTCAGTAGAAATACATATACAAGTCCACCAAGAGGTAAGGAGGGAGGAAAGACGGATAGGGAGGCAGAGAGAGAGAGAGAGGGGGCAGCTCAAAAAAGGACCACCTCTTGTAAATACAAAACGGCAGCTCAAAAAATGACCACCTCTTGTAAATACAAAACGGCAGCTCAAAAAAGGGCACATCTTACACATAATTACAATGGTAACTTCCCCTTAGAAGTTGGATAATAAAGTATTAAAGCTTTCGTGACTGCATAAAATGACTCATTGTTTTTTTCGGTAAAGTCACGTATGTAGAAATACAATAAAATAGCTGCCGTTTTGTATTTGCAAGAGGTGGTCTTTTTTTGAACTGCCCCCTCTCTCTCTCTCTCTGCCTCCCTGTCCGTCTTTCCTCCCTCCTTACCTCTTGGTGGACTTGTATATGTATTTCTACTGACCGTGTACCTCGTATTTTTCATTCTATCTATGCTGGTATGTGCAATCCAAAGGTTGAACACGAAATTTAACACTCTTCTGAAATTCGTGGTCCGCCAGGAAGTGTCTGTGTTGTTGGCCTGACTGGATGTGCTTCACATAATGTTTTTTCAGGTTTGTTGAATTCTCGTCTCTCATCTTTTTGTTGTATTTACCTCCGTGATTTGTTCTTGACACTTGATGAAGATCGCTTGCGTTGTGATCGAAACGTCGTGATTGTTTTTTGTTTTAATATAATTTTATTGTATTTCTACATACGTGACTTTACCGAAAAAACTCATGAGTAATTTTATGCAGTCACGAAAGCTTTAATATTTTATTAAGAAAACTATAAATGGTTGACACGAATCACGAAGAGGCTGGAGGCGCTGCAACCACGCCCGGGCGCTTGGCGTGTTTGCAGTGGGTCACTGACACCGAACCGGCTAATCAGCTTCAGTACTCGTGAATACCAGTCAGGGCACTTATTTTCATCGATACAATGATTTTAAAAAGTACTCATGCAGTCACGGATTACCTGTGTGCAGCTGTCTCGGTCGGTACTCGGTGTTGGTGTGTTGTATACACACTCAGTGAGAAGACAGGGAGGCAGACTTGCGGATAGAAGTGCAGATGAATGGACAGACAAGCAAACAAGAACGCATAGAGAGAGAGACAGTATTTTAACAAACCGCCTTGTCTTCGTGAAACAAGACAGGCCCATGCAACCTGCAGCAATCGCAGAGCAGCAAGTGAATGGGCAGACAGACAGCTGAGCGGTGGTGGTGGCTATGCACGTGGCTGCCTGTGACCCAGCACTGCAGAGGAAACAGCGAGTGTTGGTGGATTGCACATAGATCTTGTGAAACTCCCTTCCATAATACAGTTTAGTGGGGTTAGATCGTGTAAATATAGATGCGTCGTTAAAACCGCCACCACAAATCTAACTGCCGCCTGATGATGCTGGTTATTACTGGCGAAACGTCGAACTCCGATTGCTAATTTTGTGGATTTGCTCTCCAACACACCGGGGTGCTGTACTAGTGCCGAATTGGCATGTTCTGCTAACGTGACAACCCTTACAGTCGTGGCTGTGTCGGGTAGTGGCGGGTTTAACGACACATTTATATATTTACGCGATCTAACCCCCAAAAAACCTGTATTATAGTGGAAACAGACTTTGATGATTGCATATTATGGTATGGCATCAGACCAAGAGATCGAAATGGAACCATAGTTTCAAAGCCAATGCGTACACTCTCAAACATGTGTGGTTAATGCAGACTTGATGATGCCTTGCAATGTCTGTTTGGTGTTTGGACATTGGAGCACTTCGGCCGTGGCAGATCACTGTTATAATTCAGTAGGCTCACATGACATTGACTTCTCCAAGACAGAGGTTATCTGCAAGCCATCTGGCTACCATAGAGATTCGTTCATGAGACTATCCACATATACAAACACAGAGACAATTTCAACTGAGAAGATGTATTCTGGCTTAGCAATCAATGGAAGGATTTGATCAACCATTTCGGGTCTTAATTGATTGTTCACGCTTACGGTGGCTTTCAGACCACATACATTATTTTCGTCTCCCCCCTCCTCTTTTCCGAACATAGATGGACTCGTCCATCTGAATAACTGCCAAATCGCTCTCCGTGGTGCTCACGTAAAAAAAACGCCACTTTATTCAAATTTTCTTGCTGTGGTTTTCACACCTGATGATGATTGCTTGTGTTGCAGTCGAAACGTCGTGATAATTTTATTGTTTTATATTTTTATTATATTATTGTTTCCCTTCTACGTGACTTTACCGAAAGAACCAATAATATGAATCCCTGCAGTCACGAAAGCTTTAAATCAAAATTTAAGTAGAACGTGTTGTCTATTTTTTAAATTGCGCATTTTGATGTGACGTCACATTTCTCACCCCCCCCCCCCCTCGTCACACATCGTCACAAATGTCTGACCTCCCCCCCCCCTTGGTACGTGACGTCATTTATGGACGGCCCCTTAATCATTCAGTCGCTCATTCATCCACTGCCTTATTCGCCCATACATTAATTCACTCAATCGTGAATTCGCAAATGCATTGCTCGCCTTATTCACTCACCCATCCGTTCACTCAACAATTCATTCACCCGTTCGTTAAGTGCCTCGTTCGTTCACTCGCTCACTCATTCCCCTTCCAGCCACACCACCTCGCTCACTCACTCATTCCCCTATCAACCACACCACCTCGCTCACTCGCTGGCAGCCACACCACCTCGCTCACTCATTCCCCTGGCAGCCACACCACCTCGCTCCCTCGCTCACTCATTCCCCTACAGCCACACCACCTCTCTCACTAGCTTACTCATTCCCCTTCCAGCCACACCACCTCCCTCGCTCGCTCATTCCCCTGCAGCCACACCACCTCGCTCACTCCCCTGCCAGCCACACCACCTCGCTCACTCATTCATTCCCCTTCCAGCCACACCACCTCCCTCGCTCGCTCATTCCCCTGCAGCCACACCACCTCGCTCACTCCCCTGCCAGCCACACCACATCGCTCACTCACTTACTCATTCATTCCCCTTCCAGCCACACCACCTCGCTCGCTCGCTCGCTCACTCACTCATTCCCCTCCGGCCACACCACCTCCCTCGCTCGCTCATTTCCCTTTCAGCCACTCCACCTCACTAACTCACTCACTCATTCATTCCCCTCCCAGCCGCACCACCTCACTCGCTCACTCACTCATTCCCCTGTCAGCCACACCACTTCGCTCGCTCGCTCATTCATTCCCCTGGCAGCCACACCACCTCCCTCGTTCATTTTCACCTCGCGACCTATGATGGCACGCGGGCAAACGCCCCCCACCACGAAGCCAATGGGAGACCCCGAGGCGGCCACACCCCCTGGATATGCCCATAGTCACGCCCACTACAACTAAACCACGCCTACTCGGTCGAGATCACGCCGCCTGACCGCGGCCACCGACCACGAACAGACAGGCCACGCCCCCCATATCGGGCGACGCCACGCCCCCATCCAGTAGGCCACGCCCCTGGCCTTCCCCCCCCTAAGGCGACTCGCGGTCCAGGCTGACAGCCCTGGAGAGACGGCGGCGTTGAGGACCTCCCGAGAAGACGTCGACACCGCCAGAGATCACTCACGACAACTGCAGCGGCAGCGGCGGCGACGGCGATGATGATGATGGCGAACTGCTGCAGGACATCAACGTGGCGGTGGTGCGCCGCTACCCTCCGGGCAGGGTCCGCTCCCGCGTGCCGCCTGCCCCTGGCTGGGAGCCGACGCGGCTACCGCTGCCAGCGGGGGGCCTACGGGCACCGGCCCCGTGCTGAGGGTGCCCAGCACGCTGGGGGCATCGCGGAGGCTCAAGGTCAGGGTCGGAGGGGGTCGAGGTGTGGGGGGGGGAGGTTGAGGGGGGAGTGGTGGTGGGGGGGGGTGGTGGTGGGGGGTCGAGGTGGTGGGGGGTCGAGGTGGTGGGGGTGGGGGGGTCGAGGTGGTGGGGGTGGGGGGGTCGAGGTGGTGGGGGTGGGGGGGTCGAGGTGGTGGGGGTGGGGGGGTCGAGGTGGTGGGGGTGGGGGGGTCGAGGTGGTGGGGGTGGGGGGGGGTCGAGGTGTGTGGGGGGGTAGGTCGGGAGGGTGGTGGTGGGGGGTCGAGGTGTGTGGGGGGAGGTCGGGGTGGTGTGGGGGGGAGCAGAATCTTGCTTGGAACGATCGCTCGTTGTCTTCCATCGCTACTGCTACTGTCACGGTTGACTGCTGCCGTGAACTCCGCTCGTTGACTGATCAGTCTCATCCTCCACACTGCGTTCAACCATGCTGCAGCTTACAACAACACCCACTCACTCACTTACTCACCCACCCACTCACTCACCCACCCACTCACTCACCCACCCACTCACTCACCCACTCACTCACCCACCCACTCACTCACCCACCCACTCACTCACCCACTCACTCACTCACCCACTCATTCACTCACTCACCCACTCACTCACTCACCCACTCACTCACTCACCCACTCACTCACTCACGCACTCACTCACTCACTCACCCACTCACACACTCAATCACCCACTCACTCACCCACGCACTCACTCACCCACCCACTCACTCACCCACTCACTCACTCACCCACTCACGCACTCACTCACGCACCCACTCACTCACTCACCCACTCACCCACCCACTCACACACTCACTCACCCACTCACTCACTCACCCACTCACACACTCACTCACCCACTCACTCACCCACTCACTCACTCACCCACTCACTCACTCACCACTCACTCACCCATTCACCCACTCACGCACTCACTCACCCACTCACTCACCCACCCACCTACTCCCTCACCGCAGGTCACCTCTCTGCTGCTACTTCTCTCGCACTGTTCCACTTTGGAATTCCCTCTCCCATCATCGTCGTCTCTTTTGTCAACAACTTCTCATGCCAACCTTGTTCAATCCTATAAACGTGTGACACTAAATCTATATAGCCATGTTTTAAAACGCAAACTCATAGAGACGGAAAGATGAACGCGTGGATCGGAGACCAAATGCAAGATGGAGACATGAGATGAGGGCCAAGCACGAGACTGCTGACGAATTGCAGCCAAACTGATGGAGTGCGTCCAAGAAACAACGTCCTCCGCGGAGATGGAGCGGTGATTGAGATGTAGTCACGTGCAGGAGTGCAGATGCATGGCGGTAGCAGCAGTGGGCAGTCAGAGATGGGGCGACTGCATGGTGGAGGCCCTTCATCCAGCAGTGGATAGACGGTGGCTGCCGATGATGATGATGGATGGAGGGGGCATCATTGGAGAGCTCCTGAAAGTTATGGAAAGTTAAATTTTGATTTAAAGCTTTCGTGACTGCAGTAATTCATATTCTTAGTTTTTTCGCGTAAAGTCACGTTGAAGGGAAACAACAAATAATACTATATATAAAACAATAAAAATTCTCACGACGTTTCGACCATAACGCAAACGGTCGTCTTCAGGTGTTGTTGGTTGCATAAACTATTTTTATAAATAATAAATGCGCCGTTTAAAAATAAATGTATGCAAACCAACACACCTGAAGACGACCGTTTGAGTTATGGTCGAAACGTCGTGAGAATTTTTTATTGTTTTATATATATTTTATTATTTTGTTGTTTCCCTTCAACGTGACTTTACGAAAAAACTAAGAATATTACTGGAAAGTTGTGGGTTTTTGTTGGGTCGCGAATATTTAAGGCAGAGGCTGAGAGGGGGTCAGCAGGGATCCGATTACGATGCGGGGTTCAGGCTCTCGGCTTGCGTCTGAACTGCGGAAGCTCTTGACCGGATAGCTACGAGTGTGATTCCAGGACAGGGTTATTAGGGGTGGACGAGTTTGAGGTCAGCACAGATTATGGTGGCGAGTGTGGTACCCGGTGATGGCCGTGACACCAGCAACAGGTTCAAGCTATGAGTGTGATCCCAGCACCGGGTTCGGAGTAGTAAGTGTCATACCATGACAGGACAGATTGATGATTGACCCTGACCTAACCCTGGCGTTGAACTTGACACAGGCACGGTTTGGCACTTACAGCCACGCTGGTGTGTCACTGCTCTGTCGCTCAAAAATACGGTGGGTGAACGATGGAGGGGATGGTTTTCTGATTGTATCGGCTGCCTCTGTGGATGTGGGGACTCAATATAAAGACAAATATCCCCCGTGTAACCTACACAGACTGTTGGGGCAAGTGTTGTTAGCGAGCACCTATTAAGGCCGGCACGTCACACGAGGTGGTTGGTGGCCATCACCAAGCTCGGTCGCCTTTGTCTCCCCACACCAGGTACTCATTTTAAGGCTGAATCGACCAACGAGAGGGCCCAGGACCTCTGGTTTCGATTAAATTAGTACGACCCTGTCTGTACAAAAGTATTTTATGCAGTCACACGATGATTGGTGAAGCCGATGAATGAGCCGCCTCTCCGCTCTGTATTTGTTTGGGGGGTTGGGGTGCAGGCCCTACACTGGGCGCGGGGATGCCGTGCCCGGACCAGGCGCTGGCGCGGCTGGTGAGCGCGTTCCGTGAGCACGGCCACCTCGCCGCTCGGCTGGACCCCCTGGCGGGGGGGGAGCACGGCCCCCCACTACGCGTGCCCCCACAACTCCTCGCCTCCGCCTACGGACTCCAGCCCGGGGTCTACCGCGTGGACGGTGCGACAGCCGCTCACTCCCCTGCTCTCGCCTTGCCCTCACCCTGCCCTTTCCCTGCCCTCGCCCTGCCCTCACCCTGTTCTTTCCAAGTCCTTACTCTGCCCTTGACCCGTGCTTGACATTGCCATTGCCATTACTGTATGCCACGCATCCCATATGCCACGTGTCCTGTATGCCACATATTCCGTACGCCATGCGTCGCCGTATGCCGTGCGTCCCTTACGCCATGCGTCCTGTATTCCGTGTGTCCTGTATTCTGTGTGTCCTGTACGCTGTGGGCAGGCCTGCTGGCGATGGACAAGGCAGAGGCCACGCTGGACGAGGTGCTGCGGTTCCTGCAGGACTCCTACTGCGGCGCCATCGCTGTGGAGACGGCGCAACTGGCCTCGGCCGAGGAGCGGGAATGGCTGGCGGAGCGCGTGGAGAGGCTCCGCGGAGAGACGTTCCCACCGGAGGAGCGGAGACTGCTCGCGACGCTGATGCTCGAGTCACAGGTGCTGGCCATCATCACCATCGTCATCAGCTTCATCATCATCTTCATCATATTCATCGTCATTATAAGTGTCACATCTCTGTCTCTTCATGTCTTTGTCTCTCTCCCCGTCTCTCTTGCCGTGTCTCCCCCGTGTCTCCCCCCGTGTCTCCCCCCGTGTCTCTCCTCGTGTCTCTCCCCGTGTCTCTCCCCCAGGCGTTCGATAACTTCGTGGCCACGAAGTTCGCGACGGTGAAGCGCTACGGCGGAGAGGGAGCCGAGGCCATGCTGCCGTTCTTCCACGAGACGTTCCGCCACGCGGCCCTCTCGGGCCTCTCCGACCTCGTGCTGGCCATGCCGCACCGCGGCCGCCTCAACCTCCTCGCCGGCCTCCTGCAGCTACCGCCTGAGGTCGGCATGACCCCAACCCGACCCCTACCCGACCTGACCCCAAATCCGAAAAATTACCTCGCCCCATACCCGACGTAATGAGATGTGGAACCGGCAAGACCTGGCCTGGTTCCCGCGCGACATGACACAGATCCAATGATGTGACCTGGACCCTACAAGACTAGACCCCCACCTCTCTGCTATTCTGTCTGCCTGTGCGTGCATGTTCACCTGTGTGCCCATCTCCCTGTCCGTCCGTGCGTCAATCCCTCTGTCTGTCTCCCTGCCTGTCCATTCATCTGTCTTTCTGGTTGCCTGCCTGTTTGTGTGTCTGTGTCTCCATCCGTCCATCCATCTCTCTCCCCCATCCATCCGGGCGTCCATCCATCTCTTCGCTCGTCCATCTATATATCCGTTTGACCATTCATCCATATTTCCAACCATCCTTCCATCCATCCAAATGTCCATCCATGCACCTTGCTATCCATCCATCTCTTTGCCATTCCATCCGTGCGTCCGTCCATCCACGTATCCATCCGTACGTTCACCCGCCTGTGTCGTCCGTAACTCTCCCCACGCACCTCCCCCGCCCGTCCGCGCCCCCTGGCCGCCGACACAGATCATGTTCCGCAAGATGCGCGGCCTCAGCGAGTTCCCCGAGGGCACGCGCGGCGCCGTGGGGGACGTGCTGTCGCACCTGACGGCCACGCTCGACGTGGAGGCGGCGCCGGGCCGCTCGGTGCGCGTGGCGCTGCTGCCCAACCCCTCGCACCTGGAGGCGGTGAACCCCGTGGCCGTGGGGAAGGCCCGCGGGCGGCAGCGCACGCGCCGCGAGGGCCACTACTCCGGCGAGCCCGGGGCCCGTCCGGGCGACCGCGTGGCCTGCCTGCAGGTACCTCGCGGCGGGTGGGCGAGGCCTCTGCTGTCTCTGTGCGGATCTCGAGGGTCTGTGATGTCTCATGAAGACGCACGGTCTGCAAGTAACACGGGGCCTATCTGGCTTCGTGAAGACAAGGTGGTTTGTCTGCAGTAAGAGTTTAGTTTAGAGACAGAGAGTACCTACTCTGTCTCTCTATCTCTCTGTGTCTGCTTGGTTGCCTGTCTGCCTGCCTATGTTCATCTGTATATCTGTCTCTATCTACTTGTATGTCTGTCCATCTGCCTGCTGGTCTCACTGTCTTTCTGTCTCTCTACCTGTGTATATATATCTACCTGTCTGGCTACCTGTCTGTACAATGGTACCTCGGTATACATCGTTAATTCGTTCCAGAAGGAAGGACTTATACCGAAGATGAAGTATACCAAACGCATTTTTCCCATAAGAAATAAATGGAAAGGAAATAATCCGTTCCAGAGTATAAGAAATTATATTTTACATATCATATTAAACATTAATGGGGTTGTATAAGATAATGTAGACACTACTTAGTACTAAAATGCATACGTACATTAAAATAAAAATTAAATGTAACATCACTTTAGCTTGCTGAGAGGAGTTGACAGCCTACGAGGATGGTGGTGAGGAAGGGGAGGAGGAGGAGAACGAGAGTCCCCTTCCCTTAAAACTTCAGGAAGCTGAAATTCTGTTGTTTCTCTTTTCCGTCTTTTTTCTTGACTTGGACCTGGTTGAGGCTCAGCAGGTTTGAGTTTTACTAAAAACCTGTCCATTGAAGTTTGTTTTTGCCTTCTTCTAAGAATGTTCCTCAAGTGTGCCATTGTCTGGTCATTCCACACACTCCTGTTACGGCTTGTTAGAGCTGTAACAGTCTTGTGTACGCGGTTACTGTACGCGGTGACTCATCCTGACCCGTACAAGTTCTAGCAAGCGCGTCGTGTCCCAAGCAAGACGTCCTATCCCAAGACATTTTCTTCTCGTCAAAACACGACGTGTACCAAATTCGACGTATTCCAAAGCGGTCGTATACCGAGGTATGACTGTATATCTACCTGTCTCTCTACCTGTCTCTCTACCTGTCTCTATACCTACCTGTCTCTCTACCTGTTTGTCTACCTAGCTATATATCCGTCTCTCTCCGTCCGTGTGCCCCCCCTCCCTGAAGGTCCACGGCGACGCGGCGTTTGCGGGGCAGGGCATCGTGGCCGAGACGTTCACGCTCGCCTACCTCCCCCACTACGACGTCGGTGGTAGCGTCCACCTCATCGTGAACAACCAGCTGGGCTTCACCACTCCGTGCGAGTGGGGGAGGTCCTCGCTCTACAGCAGCGACATGGGTAAGGGCACTCGGAGTGAACGGACGGGCGGAGTCTGGCTCCGTTTTGTACCCCGCATCCCCCCCCACGTCACCACTCCCCTTGCGCTGATGGACGAGATGGGTAGTTTAATAGATGGGTCGAATGGTGATCGGTCGGTTGGTTTGGTGGGTGGTTGGGTAGTTCATGAGGCAGTATGATTCCATGTGTAGTTGAATTTACGATTGGTTGATTAGATAGGTAGTTTAATTGATAGTTGGCTAAAAGCATGACCGGTTGAATGAATGAGTGGTCGAATTAATGAGAGGTTGAATGGATGACCTTTTCTGTGGTTGGACGCTTGATTGAATGAGTAGTGGCGAGAGTGGTTGACTGACTGCGTGCGTGGTTGACTCGCATTGCCTGCCGGCGCCAGGCAAGGTGGTGGGCTGCGCGGTGGTGCACGTGAACGGCGACGAGGTGGAGGAGGTGGTGCGCGCGGCGCGCCTCGCCATGGACTACCGCCACCGCTTCCGGCGCGACGTCATCGTCGACCTGCTGTGCTACCGCCAGTGGGGTCACAACGAGCTGGACGATCCCACCGTCACCAACCCCGCCATGTACGGCCTCATCCGGTGAGGACCGCGCGTGCCCACAGACCCGGCGAGCTGGCGGCTTAGTGAGCCGGCGAGGTGGTGAGTTAGTGAGCTGGTGAGTTAGTGAGCTGGTGAGTTAGTGAGCTGGTGAGCTGGCAAGCGAGTGAGCTGGTGAGTTAGTGAGCTGGTGAGCTGTTAAGCGAGTGAGCTTGTGAGTTAGTGAGCTGGTGAGTGAGTAAGCTGGTGAGTTAGTGAGCTGGTAAGCTGGCAAGCGAGTGAGCTGGTGAGTTGGTGAGCTGGCAAGCGAGTGAGCTTGTGAGTTAGTGAGCTGGTGAGTTAGTGAGCTTGTGAGTTAGTGAGCTGGTGAGTTAGTGAGCTGGTGAGTTAATGAGCTGGTGAGCTGGCAAGCGAGTGAGCCAGTGAGTTAGTATGCCGGTGAGCTGACGATTTAGTGAGCCGGTGAGCTGGCGAGCCGTTGCACCGTCACGTTCACATCTCTCACATCGCGAGGATGCCAGAGATGCGACCGCCGCTTGGGGATCCTCGTCTACCCCAGCAGTGGATCGAGCGTGACTGTCGTCGCCGACGACGACGGCGGCGATGACGTAGACGACGATTCTCCCCCCCTCCCCCGCAGGTCTCGCAAGAGTGTCCCTGACAGCTACGCGGAGCGGCTGGTGAGCGAGGGCGTCCTCACGGAGGCCGACGTGGAGCTCGTCAAGAGCTCGCGTTTCGCCGAGCTGGCGCGCCGACTCGGCGCGGCCGAGGACGGCGCCGCCGCGGCGGCGCCGTCCTCGGCCGCGCGGGGAGGGGTCGCCGCCCACTACTGGCCCGGCGACGGCGCCGGCGAGCCGCGGGGCCGCTGGGCCGGCCTGCGCCGTCCGGAGGCCCGCGTGAGCCGCTGGGACACGGGCGCGCCCGCCGAGCTGCTGCGCTTCGTCGGCGCCAAGTCGGTGGAGGTGGCGCCCGACGTGGCGATGCACGGACACCTGTTCAAGACGCACGCGCAGGTGCGACCACCACGGCGCCCGCCCGCCGCCGCGCCTGCGTGGTGGTGCCGCCGGTGGTGGCGGCGTCGTGGTCGTGGTCGTTGTCGTCTTGTGGGGCGGTGATGTGGCCCAGAGGTAGCGTGCGTACGTGTGGGCATGTGAGCACGTGTTGGTGTATGTGCCTGTGTGTGGGGAGCGGTAGTGTAGCGGTTAGCGCACCACGCTACGAACCCGGCGATCTGAGTTCGATTCCAACACTGGTGACGATTATCTGAACCGGTCCTGGGTCCCCCCCTAGGTCGATTCAGCCTCAAATGAGTAACTGGTGCGGTGTGTAAAAAAATCGGCACTGGGGATACAAAGGCGGACGGGCGGGGTGTTGGCCACCCCACGCCCTCATGTGCCGGGCTGACCGTCATAGGTCCTACTCTCTAATGGCACTTGTCCCAAACATCCTTGTAAGGCTACACTGGGGATCTTTGTCTTTGTGTGCCCCGCCCCTCCCCAGGCTCGCCTGCTCAAGCTGCAGGAGGGATCGAAGCTCGACTGGGCGACCGCTGAGGCCCTGGCGTTTGGCTCCCTGCTCACCCAGGGTGATCGATTCCCCGTCCTCTAAATCATTCTTTGTATTAGAATGAAGATTTGCCGGCTGGCTGGCGCGTGGGCGGGCATGCGGGCTCGTGCGCGGCGGTGACGTCGCCCACGTGCCATGGTGCTGAGCCGGGTTCACGAGACGCTTGTATATTTGGAGTTTGCGTATCTCTCTCCCCGTGGTCGTGTGCGTTATTCTCCCGGTCCTCCGGTTTTTTCCTCCACATTCAAAAGCAACGCGTGTTTAGAGTATTTGACTGCTAAAAATGTCCACATGATGATAAAAAACTTCAATGAGCTATCATTTGTGCTCACCAGGTCGCTTCTGAACAAGAGCTTTTTAGCTCAGTGGGCCTTACCTGGTAAACAAACGAATTGTGAAGTTTAGTTTTTAATTACCGTCATGACCCGCTCGTGTCCAGGGTTCGACGTGCGGCTGAGCGGCCAGGACGTGGGACGGGGAACCTTCAGCCAGCGGCACGTCATGATTGTGTGCCAGAGCAGCAGCGAGGCCTACATCCCGCTCAACCACATGGTGCCCCAGCAGGAGGCCTTCCTGGAGGTGAGCGCCAGGCGGCGGAGCGACGCGGTCGGCACGGCCCCCTCGCTCGAGGCCTTGACCCCCTGTGCTTCTCCTCGCTCGTTCAGTCGGGCATCGCACGTGGCGAAGGTCAAGTTGTCGTCGCGGTTGTGGGCTGGGGTTTTGTTGAACTAGGTGAGAGCTTGGGAGACCGCGATGATCGGTCTCATCAGGTCGAACGTCTCCGGACAGATCGGGCCACAAGCGGACGGCGGACGACATCGCTGGCTGTGTGCGTGCGATGGATGTGTGGCTGTGTGCGTGCGATGGATGTGTGGCTGTGTGCGTGCGGTGTGCCCGCGTGTGCGACTCCGACAGCCGCAGCCAACATCGATGGCGAGTGATATCTGGACCGGTCCTTGATCACCCCTAGGTCGACTCAATCTTAAATGAGTACCTGTTGTGGTCTGTAAACATGAGAGCAGGGCCTGGCGCCGGCCACGCCGTGCTGGCCTCAATAGGCACTCGCTGACGGCGCTTGCCCCAGCGACCTGGTAAAGGCCACGTGGGGGGGGGGGGGGGCACCTTTGTCTTTGTGCCGCTGCAGGTGTGCAACAGCCCACTGTCGGAGGAGGCGGTGCTGGGCTTCGAGTACGGCGTGAGCATCGAGAGCCCGCGGCTGCTGCCCGTGTGGGAGGCGCAGTTCGGAGACTTCTTCAACGGGGCCCAGATCATCATCGACACCTTCATCATGTCTGGTGAGAGAAGATGGCCACGACACACGGCGTGACTTTACCGAAAGAGCTAAGAATATGAATAACAACAGCAGCAATAAACAGCAACAAACGATGACAAATGTGCGACAACAAACAAGGCACGGGTTGATGAGTTGATGAGGTAAGGGCGTTATGGAAGGAAGGCCGAGGATCGGGAAGTCAGAGGAAGGGGGTAGATGACGGAGGAGGATGGAGACGATGGTAGAGCGCCCGCGAGGAAGAAACGATAGCACAGGAGTCACCCCCACAGGTGATGCGACCCGAGTTCAATTCCGTTCACGGCCACCAACACCAGTGACCATTATCTGAACCGGCCCTGGGCCTCCCCTAGGCCGACTCGGATATAAAAATGAGTAGCCGGTGCGATGTGTAAACGTCAGTATTGGGGAGACAAAGGCGGCCGTGCATAGTTATGGTCACACCACTCCCATCAAGTGCCTTACCGGCCTTCAAAGGTGCTCCTAGCTAGCAGAACTTGCCCCGACAGCCTGATGAAGGCTACCTGGGGTTGTCCTTGTTTGTGTGCTCGTGGTGCAGGAGAGGCCAAGTGGCTGCTGCAGAGCGCCCTCGTCCTGCTGCTGCCCCACGGCTACGACGGCGCCGGCCCCGAGCACTCGTCCTGCCGCATCGAGAGGTTTCTGCAGGTGCGGCACGTGCGTCACGTGACACGCGTCCTCGTGGGTCGCGGGACAGGTGTCAAATGGCGCGGTTCACGTGTCACGTGTCATCGCGGGTCACACGACACGTGTCATCGCGGGTCACATGACACGTGTCATCGCGGGTTACACGACACGTGTCATCGCAGGTCACACGACACGTGTCATCGCGGGTCACACGACACGTGTCATCGCGGGTCACACGACACGTGTCATCGCGGGTCACACGACACGTGTCATCGCGGGTCACACGACACGTGTCATCGCGGGTCACACGACACGTGTCATCGCGGGTCACACGACACGTGTCATTGCGGGTCACACGACACGTGTCATTGCGGGTCACACGACACGTGTCATCGCGGGTCATACGACACGTGTCATCGCGGGTCACATGACACGTGTCATCGCGGGTCACACGACACGTGTCATCGCGGGTCACACTACACGTGTCATCGCGGGTCACACGACACGTGTCATCGCGGGTCACACGACACGTGTCATCGCGGGTCACACGACACGTGTCATCGCGGGTCACACGACACGTGTCATCGCGGGTCACACTACACGTGTCATCGCGGGTCACACGACACGTGCCGTGGGTCACATGACACGTGTCATCGCGGGTCACACGACACGTGTCATCGCGGGTCACACGACACGTGTCATCGCGGGTCACACGACACGTGTCATCGCGGGTCACACGACACGTGTCATCGCGGGTCACACGACACGTGTCATCGCGGGTCACACGACACGTGTCATCGCGGGTTACACGACACGTGCCGTGGGTCACACGACACGTGTCATCGCGGGTCACACGACACGTGTCATCGCGGGTTACATGACACGTGCCGTGGGTCACATGACACGTGTCGCAAGTCACATGACATGTCGCAGATCACATGACTCGTGTCAAGGGACAGGGGACAGTTGTCGCATCACACATTTCCTGGATCACATGACACGTATCGCGGTACAGGTGTAAAATGGCACGCATCAAACGACACGTGCCTATTGACCCAGTGTAACCACCGCTCCCCCCCCCCCTTCCCTTGTTGACGTTGGCGTGGCCAGATGTGTGACAGCAGCGAGGAGGGAGTGGACGGTGACATGGTGAACGTGTCCGTGGTGAACCCCACCACCCCGGCGCAGTACTTCCACCTCCTGCGGCGACAGGTGCTGCGCGATTTCCGCAAACCGCTCATCGTCGCCTCGCCCAAGATGCTGCTGCGCCACCCGGTACGTAGGCGCAGCAGGGACAGCGGTAGCAGCAGGGGCAGCAGTAGTAGCAACGGCAGTAGCAGCTGCAGTAATAGCAGCAGTGGCAGTAGCAGTGACAGCAGTAGCAACAGTAGCAGCACTTTGAGTAACAATGGCAGCATGTCCCCCCTGTGTCTCCGTATCTCCGTGTTCCCTTGTCCCCCACGTCCGAGTGTCTCCCGAATCCGCCGTGTGTCCATGTCCTTGTGCCCGCCACGCTGTATCAACGCCTAGCCTGGGTCTCACCGTCCCCGTGTCCCCCCCGTGTCCTCCCCGTGTCCCCGTGTCCTCCACGTGTCTCTGTGACCCCTGCCTTCACCGCTCCCGGCAGGCGGCTGTGTCCAGCCTGAGTGAGATGGGGCCCGGCACGTCCTTCGAGCCGGTGATCGGGGATCCGAGCGCGAACCCCAAAGAGTGAGTCCAGGCCTCGCGGGACCAGCATGATGTGCAGACGAGACAGTGTACCCTACCACGCGTATGTATGTATTTTGAACTTCTTTCGCGCAGTACATGGCCAATCGTGCTAATCGGAGGTGCGGGGGAAGGACAACAAACTAAACACAAAAAATAAATTAATTTTTAATCTAGATTTTAAAGTGAATAGCTCCATTGGCTTCCTAATATCGGAAGGAAGAGCGTTCCAGACGGCCACAGAAGGGCATCCAAAAGTGTGCGACGCAGTGACAATCTTTGTTCGATGGTCAGCCAAAACCCGGTGCGAGGATGACCAGAATCGTCCGCTTTGCTAAATATTTCGTTGCGTCATAATCATCATCATCATCGACAATGTCTCCAATGCTGTGTGCTGTTTCTGCAGAGTGTCGCGGGTGGTGCTGTGCAGCGGGAAGCACTACTACGCCCTGCACAAGCAGCGGGAGGCGCTGGGCGCTGCCGGGCGCGGCACCGCCCTGCTGCGCCTTGAGGAGATCTGCCCCTTCCCCACGCACGCCCTGCGCCAGCAGCTACAGCGCTTCCCCAACGCCACAGGTGGCCTACCCCTGCGACCTCCACCACGCCACCCCCGCCCTGCCACCCCCGCCCTGCGACCCCTACGAGTCTCCCACCACCCTTGCCCCGAGTAGCCTTGACAGACTGTAGGGGCAAGTGCTGTTAGAGGGCACCTATGAAGGCCAGCACAGCACGCGAAAGGGTGGGTGGCAAGCACCGTGCCCAGCTGTTTTTCTCTCCCCAGTGGCGATGTGTACGCATCGCACCACGTACTCATTTGAGGCCGAGTCAACGAGGACCAGCTCAGTTAATTGTCACTGGTGTTGATCATGAGCGGGAATAGAACTCGGGTCGCCGGGTTCATAGCGCAGCTCGCTAACCACTACACTACCGCTCCCCCTACCCCTGATATCACCCTGCCACACCCCTGCCACCAACCAAAGCATCTTGGTGATCATAAGTGTTACGGCTCGGTTCAGTGTCATGTTGCGTATTGGTTCTGTGGCTATTTTGACCGCTTGTTTCTCGTGTTTATAATGAGTGATATGGTTAACGTGAACGCTATGGCGAGTGCGTTGTTATTACCGGCAACATTGAGCTCGCATCACTTCGAGCGTTCTCCCTGAGCTTGATGTGTTGGGAGCGCTCGCGTCATGCTTGCTGTGTGTGGGGGGTGGGGGGGTGTGTGGCTCGGGTGACACTCCGCCCCCTCCGCTCCAGCCCCTCGGCAGCGCGCAGCTATCCGTGGTGCCGGCGCCGCTGTCCGTGGTGCCGGCGCCGCCGTGCCGCTGTCCGTGGTACCAGCGCCGCTGTCCGTGGTACCAGTGCCGCCCGTGTGTCCCCCACCGCACCTCTCTCCCCCGCAGAGTTCGTGTGGGCCCAGGAGGAGCCGCAGAACATGGGCTGCTGGACCTTCATCGCGCCGCGTTTCCGCAAGCAGCTCGCTGTGGAGGTGACCTCGATACCCCCCTCCCCCCAGTAACCCCGCTACCCCCGTCCCCGTGACCCGTTGACCTCTCAAATCCCGCGACCCCCCTCCTTGCAAACGGGCGGTAAGGAGCCTCCGTGTCGCTCCGTGTCGCTCCCGTTGTGTGGTTACCGTGAGCGCCACTCCCTGACGTCCCCACCCGTGTTGAGGCCTCGGTCTCTTCCAGACACCTGCTGTGTCGTTCCATCTACCACAGACGTGGTGTTCAAACACCACCACCACCACCACCACACTGTTCAATCACAACCACAATCACCACCACACTGTTCAAACACCACTACCACCACCACACTCTTCAACCACCACCACTACCACACTGTTCAATCACAACCACAATCACCACCACAACCACCACACTGTTCAAACACCACCACCACCACACTGTTCAATCACAACCACAATCACCACCACAACCACCACACTGTTCAAACACCACTACCACCACCACACTCTTCAACCACCACCACTACCACACTGTTTAATCACAACCACAATCACCACCACACTGATCAACCACCACTGTTCAATCACAATCGCCACCACAACCACCACTACACTGTTCAACCACCACAACCACCACCACACTGTTCAACCATCACCTCAACCACCACCACACTGCACCCCCGATTAACACGGTTGGCTACGTATGGTACGAAAGAAGTTCAACACACAAAACGTACATACTGCAAGTCACAACACACTTACTCACACCCAGTAAATATTTGTTCTTGTCTTCAAATAGGAGCTGTTATGGAACAGAACAACGTTAGCAGGGTCATGATAAGTGATGCAGGGTGTGTGTGCACATCTGTGTGTATGTGTGTGTATTTAAATGGATGTTTTTCTGTACGTATGCATGAGTAGCAGCACTTGCCCCGATAGTTTTCGTGAGCTGCATGGGGGATTTTCATCTGTACCCGTGTGTGTGTGTGTGTACCTGTGTGTGTGTGTGGGGAGCGATAGTGTAGCGGTTAGCGCGCTGCGCTATGAACCCGGCGACACGGGTTCGATTCCCGCTCACGGCCAACACCAGTGACGATTATCTGAACCGGACCCGGGCCTCCCCTAGGTCGACTCAGCCTCAAATGAGTACCTGGTGCGGTGTGTAAACATTGCCACTAGGGAGACAAAGGCGGTCGGGCGTGGTGCAGGCCACCCACCCCCTGGTGTACCGTTACCGGCCTTCATAGGTGCTCGCTAACAGCACTTGCCCCTACAGTCTGTTAAGGCTATATGAGGGATCTTTGTTTTGTGTGTGTATCTGGGTGTGAGCAGCTGAAGCTGGTGAGCCGCCCAGCCCTTCCGGCCCCCGCAGTGGGGATTGGAACCATGCACCAAGAACAGCACCAGCACGTCATCACGGCTCCCTTCTCCTCCTCCTGAGGGCCCAGCTCTCACTCCCGCGGGGCTTGGTGGGAGAGGCTCCCGGCCGGCACGAGGCCCGACACGAGAGCCTCGGGCCACACGGCCTTCGTGGCCTCTCCTCACCTGTACTGGACGATCGCCACCCTCGTCGTCATCATCAATCATCATGATGATGATTATCCATAATTGTCACTCATCAGTCGTCATCCATTAATCATTCCATCACCATCATGATCATCCCATCAATGAATTACCATCATCTTCAATGATCGTCGTTTATCATCAAATAATTATAATAATGATGATTATCCATTAATCATGATCATTTATCATTAGTCATCGTTCATCATCATCATCACTATCCACCAATCATTCCATATTTAATTCCATCAGTCATCACGTTATAACCATCCCATCGATCACCAATATACCATCGTCTCCTAAACGTATCGATCATCATAATCGATCGCCATTCTCTCTCCACAGTTGGAAAGCTGTGGTGTTGTGTCCGAGTCTCACCGGTCACCTCCTCCCGTGCCTTGCCCCCACGGCCCCCACGTGCCTGCGCCACGTGCCCCCCCCCCGCCCCCCCCCCCCCGCTGCTCACGGCGTGTGACGCGGGGTCCCCCTTCCCGAGGTGGTGTTTTTAGCCCCCTACAGAATCGCCATGCAAGAAGAACTCCTCCCCACCCTCCCTCGCCCTCCGGCTCACGAGTTGTCCACTTTGATTTGTTCACGCGGATGGGCGAGTGAACGTCGCTGTCGTCTCGGCTTCCTGCAGCACCCTCTGGCAAAGCCCCCCACTCCCCACCACCGACTCTCCCTTTCGGCTACCTGTACGGCACGGGACATGGCGTTGGCGAGAGCGTGGCTTCTCGCTTCCTCTCGGCTGTGCATGCGTGCGTCCGTCTGCCTCGCTGGGGTTCGGTAGCTCTTGGGTGGGTGCAGGGAGTCACCGGCCGGGGCCCAGAGTGGCAAGCGGCCAGCAACGGGGGGCAGCACTTTAAGCGTCGTTAACTTGAGGGATCGATATTCACGGACGGATCGATGCGTTGCCAATACCTTTACGAGACAGAGGTGCCTGCAGCCTTGAAGATAATTTAACTTTCATATATATGGCAATATATTTATATTAAATGGGAATTATACGTATATATGAATAGGTCAGGGGATAAAGTACACTAATTCTGGATGTGTCCGACAAACATCGTGTCCGTTTGGAGTGCACTCGAGGGAGGTGAAGTTGATTTTGAGTCACCAGGTGAGCAAGGCAGGAGGCAGGGAGAAAGTCTCCTCTGCCAGAGAAGTCACCTGAGTCACCCCAGTGCACAAAAGAGAAATGAAGGTACCGTGCAGCAGCCAAGAAAATAGAAATCTGCACAAAAACAATCACGTAACGGGAGAAATCGAAAAAATACACGTGAAAGTTTTGCTGGCTGGCTGGCTAAAGGGATGGATGTGACTTGCGGGTTGCAAGTCATATCTGAATTATATATTTAGAATACATTACTTTATCGAACGTGTAAATGGGTTGTCACCTTGCAGGAAACTCAACACCCCATCGCCAGCACCGCAGCGTGAATGAGAAAGGCCCGTTCAGTCCGACACGTCCTGCGGTATTTCACGAGCCCGTCCACCCTCGTCAAGAGGGGGGTGGATGTTCTTGTGCTGCTTCATTGCAGCTGAACTACCTCCCTGAGTGAACACATTGTTTCGTGATACTGCCTTCGGCAGTCGTGCACTACATGAAGAAGGGCCGTTGCCCGAAACGTGGCATATATATTTTATTTTCTTTTAAATGCCGCAGAGTTATTGACAAATGTATTGAGTTTTGTTATTATGATAACAATGACGATTGTTACAATACGAATTGGTTGACAGGCCGTGCCCATGTCAAAAACTCCACGACGTGACGATTATTACAGTGATTTACCGCGCATCGTTCAAGTGTACAAAATGTAAATCGGAAATCGTTGGCACTCCCTGGCTGCCACGACTCGCCACGCAGCTCGCACCGCTGCCCAGACCTGTGGGGTGGTTTAATTTTTTGGGAACGGCAGAATACTGGCAAGGCCCGCTCACTTCCAGGTCTGGGCTGTTGCTGGACATCATCGCGTGCCGCACAGGGACAGCTGCCACCGGCGGGTCCCCCTACAGGCGAGACTGCAGCAGGGCATCACAACGATTTAATTGAGATATATTCTTGGTTCTTTCGGTAAAGTCACGTTGAAGGGAAAAAATAAAATAAAATATATATAAATCAGGTGTGATGATGACTGCTTGTGTTGCAGTCGAAACGTCGTGAGAATTTTATTGCTTTTTATATTTATTTTATTGTTTCCCTTCAACGTGACTTTACCGAAAGAACCAAGAATATGAATCACTGCAGTCACGAAAGCTTTAAATCAAGATTTAATTGAGGTTTAAGAAAAAAATGTCAGCAAAAAGCGCTTTCGATACGTGAATCCCTGCTCTGATAATTCAAACGGTTTCGCTAGACTGCCCAACTGGCGCGCGCGTGAGGTTGTGTGAGGTGAGGCTCGAGTGTGTGTGTGTGACTGTGTGTGTGGCTGTACGCTCACAACAACGAGCGGAGCGCCGGGTGGCTAAAGCACAGCAGGTTGGCACAGTAGGGGGCACAGGTGGTGCATCAGCCAGTCATCTCAGTCAGTCGACCCGTGGCACCTGGGTCTGCCCAGTGACCTCCTGCCAGCGGGCGTTCGACACTTCACGTGGCCTCACGGTGCACATAGCCTGGCACAAGCGTCGTGGTGACGTCACCGCCACTTAGTGGCGAATGGCGGTTGTTGTTGTTGTTGTGTGGCTGTATGTGTGAGTGTGTGTGACTGTGTGTGACTGTGTGTGTGACTGTGTGTGTGACTGTGACTGCGTGGGGAGCGGTAGTGTAGCGGTTAGCGCGCTGCGCTATTAACCTGGCGACCCGGGTTCGATTCCCGCTCACGGTCAACACCAGTGACGATTATCTGAACCGGTCCTGGGCCTCCGCTAGGTCGACTCAGCCTCAAATGAGTACCTGGTGCGGTGGATAAAAACATTGCCACTGGGGAGACTAAGGCGGTCGGGCGTGGTGTTGGCCACCCACCCCCTCGTGGGCCGTGCCGGCCTTCATAGGTGCTCGCTAACAGCACTTGCCCCTACAGTCTGTTAAGGCTATACGGGGATCTTTGTGTGTGACTGAGTGTGTGTGCGGGGAGCGGTGGCGCAGTGGCTAGCGCGGTGCACTGCGACCCCGGCGATCCGAGTTCAATTTCTGCTCACGGCCAATAACAGTGGGGACATTCTTTGGTTCTTTCGGTAAAGTCACGTAGATATAAAATAAAAAATAACATATAAAATATTTTTAATTTCTATCTATGTGACTTTACCGAAAAAACCAAATAATATGAATTCCTGCAGTCACGAAAGTTAAGTCAAAATTTAACAGTGGGGATAATTTGGACCGGTCCTGGGCCTCCCCTAGGTCGACCTGGTGCATTGAGTAAACAGCTCTGGGGAGACAAAGGCGGCCGGACGTGGTGCTGGCAAATCTCCGCCTTGTATGTGCCTTGTGAGCCTTCATAGGGGCTGGCTAACAGCCTCTTAAGGGCTACACGGGGTGTCTTAGTGCTTTTGTGTGTGCGTTTGTCTGTATACACGTGAGACATTTCTGATCAATTTCCCCAACGACATGAAAGGCTCCCATGCTGGCCTGGCTTTGGCGTCTTGTTAGCCGAGTGGTGGCAGTGGTGGCCACGCACGTGACTACCTGTAATCCAGCACTGTGGAGGCAGCAGCGAGGGTTGGTGGACCATACACAGATGTGAAGCTCCCTCCCCGTGAGCGTCGAGGAGGTGCCATACCATGGCTCGCCAGGAGGCGGTGGTACAGCAAGTGGACTAATCGCCATATGTTTATTCCATCTGTACGGGGATAGAGCGTTGCCCCCTCACGCGTGGCGTGTTTTCTTCGGGTGCTCCGGTTTCCTTCCACGTGGTATAATAAACACACTCATCACTAATCGGTTAAAAACATCTAAACAGGGACCCTCCTGAAACACAGTCATACGACTCTCTATGGCTCTCCTGCATATAGAAGTACATTATTATTGTTAACATCAACCAATGTTCCGTGTAACTTGATGATGCGACACCTGTGGCTCTGAAATTCCACGCAATTGCGTTTGATCCAGGTGTGTTCACAGTCGAGGCGAGGGCTTCATTCACACGACTCGGCACAAGACTAAATATTTCCGCACCCGGCACACCACATCCTGGATGCCCCTACGCTACGGCCGCGGCTGCTAATCGAGCTCGGCCGACTCCAGCGTCGCGTCCTCGTGGCGCTGGCGCTAAACCCGCACCGGATTTCCGATTCGAGTCGCCTGTTCCAATTAAGTGCCGTTTGACTCGAATGAAAGTTGTTTGAAAAGTCGATTTTAAAATTAATTATTATTTTTTGTTGGGCGGAAGGGGTCAGATCACGTAAATAAGATGTGTCGTAAACCCCTCCTCCAGCGAGGCAACCGATTAATAAAGTTGTCACGTGATGAACAAACACGTGGCCAACTTCTGACCGCGTCAGCAGCGCCACCAGTTTGGTGTTCTCGAGCAGTCTCACGACATTGAACAATTTGGCAGTCCGACCTTTCGCAGCTCGTTACAACCAGCATCATCAGGCAGTGACCAGAATTGTGAAGATATCCTCCATTTCTTGGTCAATAACTTTTGCGTCCTTATTTTAACCAAAACAAACCACGGCTGTATCTGTAAACAAACTCAACACGTTCGTCAATAACACCCCGTGTGAGTGACCTTAAACTTATAAATACATAATAGGCGACGTTTTAGTGTACTGCCCCTTCTTCACAGCACATTGGCCAGAGAGGTGGCAGTCCTCTCTATGTGCTTTAAAGAAGGGACATTACCCGAAACGTCGCCTCGCACATACTGTTTATTTTTTTAAAGCCGCACGGTGTTGTTGACACGGGACGTGTTGAGTTGTTGCTGCCAACAGCAGCGTCATCATCAGCAGGCCCTTTGTAGCCAGAGTTGTTTGTCTCTCTTGCACCGCTTTGGCTCGCCCCATTGTCGTCGGGCCACCGTTGGCACACTCATTTACAATCCCATTTGCATACGCCAACAAAAAAACGCATCTTAATACGTAGTAGTAGGCTTTCGCGACCAATATCATCCATAATATAGGGTTTTTTTTTGGGGTTATATCGCGTAGATATAAATGTGTCGTTAAAACCGCCACCACCCGTCACAGCCACTAAGTAAGGTTTGTCACGTAAACAGAACGTGCCAATTCGTGTGCATGTTCTGTTTACGTGACAAACCTTACTAATTGGCTGTGTCGGGTGGTGGCGGGTTTAACGACACATTTATATTTACGCGATCTAACCCCAAAAATATATATGGGGGGGGGGGGGGGGGAAGCGCATTCTCGCGCAAGCGATTCGAACTTAATGGAAGGAGATTCACTCGCCGAGGAATCTTCCCCACACCAGCGCTGAACCCTCCTCAACCCCCTTCTCGGATCGCTGCTGTCACCATCCTCGAGTGGCAATCCAGTGGCTCGGAGCAGACCTCGACATTGGCATTTAGCTCCTCAAACACATCGCTGCCACACTCATGAAGACTGTAGAGACTCATGGAGACCCACAGAGACCCACGGAGAGAGGAGAGGCATCGACACTGGAATTTGGCTTCCTTCGTCGCCTCGCTGCTGCCACCACCACCAGCAGCAGGCGCAAGGGCGCCACTGAGCCGGGCCGTCAGGGGGCGCTGCGGCCCCGCGTGTCGGGGCACGGGGGTCTCTGGGGATTTCTGGGGTCGATTTCGGGCGGCGGTGGGGAGTGGGAGGGGCTGGTTCCCGGGGTCTCAGGGTTCTCTGGGGGTCTCGAGGGACTCTGGGGCTTCCCGGGGTCTCAGGGTTCTCTGGGGGGTCTCGGGGTCTCAGGGTTCTCTGGGGGTCTCAGGGTTCTCTGGGGGTCTCGAGGGTCTCTGGGGGTCTCGAGGGACTGGGGGTTCCCGGGAACTCAGGGTTCTCTGGGGGGTCTCGGGGTCTCAGGGTTCTCTGGGGGTCTCGAGGGTCTCTGGGGGTCTCGAGGGACTCTGGGGGTTCCTGGGGTCTCAGGGTTCTCTGGGGACCTCGGAGATCTCTGGGGTTCCTGGGATCTCAGGGTTCTCTGGGATCTCAGGGTTCTCTGGGGGTTCCTGGGATCTCAGGGTTCTCTGGGGGTCTCGAGGGACTCTGGGGGTTCCTGGGATCTCAGGGTTCTCTGGGGGTCTCGGGGTCTCAGGGTTCTCTGGGGATCTCGAGGGTCTCTGGGGCTTTCTCTGTGATCTCTGGGGGTTCCCTTTGATCTCAGGGTTCCCTGGAGGGTTTGGGGGCTTGTTTGTTTTTATCACGGGGCGGCGGTGGTGGCTACGCTGCTGCACGTGTCCGCCTGTAATCTAGCGCTGTGGAGGCAGCAGCGAGGGGTTGGTGGGTCACACGGATGTTGTTGTGAAACTCCCTTCCCGTGGGCGTCGAGGAGGAGTTGTGCCCTGGCTCGCCAGGAGGCGGCGGTACAGCCAAGTGCGGGCGATGATCATCTGCCCCTTCTGATGGAGCGTTCCCCTCTCGCACGGCTGCGTTTTGTGTGTGCTTCCGTTTTCTGACACGTGTACAATAAACACTCACGGATTAGCTAAAAACATTGTAATATTTAAAGGACTTTAGAGCTCGGACAATCACTGGCACCGCTTCAACCGCCTGGCTGCTGCCTCCAAGCGCTGTCTGTGGTTCCTGGGCCATTGTGCGATGCACTTTGCATGAATGGCGATGCTAGATATGAACCTGAAACGTACATCATGTGCAGCAGAGGCCTCCGCGGACCGCCTCGGGGTCTCGGTGGGTCTCGGTGTCGAAATTTCACAATCAACCCGAGTCTGGCACCTCGCTTAGGGGAGTAACAGGAGAACCGGGTTGTGTGGCTCCCCTGATTCTAACAGATGTTCAGTATGACATCTGTTAGAAGTTTTACATAATTATAATTCTGTTAGAAAAAGAGCCGTATAGGTAATCGGATTCCTCCAGTGTGAATACATATTCTATATGGATCTCCCTCTTTTGTGTGACTGATTCTATTTCTGTGGGTTGCTATGTCTCACTGCGTGTCTATGTCTCTCTGTGTGTCTCTACGTCTCTATATGTTTCTCTCTGTCGTTCGTTGTACCTCTATGGCTTCCTCTGTTGCTCTGTGTTTCTATGAATCTCCGTGCCTGTATCTTTATCTCTGTATGTGT